TTTCATGGATATAAGTTGGTTTAAGTAATGGTAGTTGAGTTTCGGGGTTAAAATACAATTTATGGGTAGAGGGAACCGATACCCTGTGAAGGGAATCGATTCCCCCTCTTGGACGAAAATTCCAGTATGTGCAAGGGGAACAGATTCCCCCTGGGGGGTATCGATTCCCCGGGAACAGATTCCCCCTGGGGGGTATCGATTCCCCCCTAAATGAAAAAATGGAATTTGATTCATTAAACCGGTTTAAGTTATTAACATCAAGTTTAAAGTTTAGGCTTCTGATAGTTGTTTTGAAATGTTATATTTATGTAGATATTGAGCCTAAACAAGTTCTGGAATAATCAAAGGATTAGAATTTATTCAAATCAAACAAGGCTAAGGTGAGTGTAATTTTAATTGTACTTATATTATTGAACGAATATTGGCTTGCGATGAGCCAATGATGGAGTTACTATGGTAAGAAGTGACTCCTAAAATGTTATTTGATATGTGATTCTTATATGTACATGAATACATTATATGCATAAACATAAGAGCATGAAACATAAGATGTATGATATGATATACATGATTATATGCATATGTGATATATGTTATGAGATATGACCAATGTGAAATGAAATAAGCTATGTGAATATATGAAATGACATATGAATATGCAATATGTGATATGATATGAAATATATAGTTACACATATATGTGGTATGTGACAGAAGAGAAAGAACAAGAGATGAGAAATATATTCATAATAAATGCCCATAGTATATGATACGAGAGCTATATGTATAGTTGGCATGCCAAGAGTCAAGGGTATTGTAGTCCTTCGGGACGTAGTGGTCCTACGGGACATATATAGCAGTCCTTCGGGACGAATACTGAACAAATGTCCGGTGCCCCATGAGGGAATTTATACGAGCTGTGGTGACAGTATTGGTGCACAACCTCAATGTACTCACATACCTCTATTCTCAATAATATACATGGGCAACAACAACAACAATTGAAATATAAATTAAAGTGAAAGTGATGCAAAAAGGTAAGTTTCATGTGTGCATGACTTGATTATATATGTCATAGGAAATATATCCATGCATATTGAAACATCGTGATCAAATGGTAAGAATGCATTTTCATGAATCTACTGTTACATGTTTATTTATTACCTCACTAAGTCTATGACTTAGCGTGTAAATGATTTACACGTAGGTACCAAGAAAAGTGAAGAGCAAGAATAGAAGTGGCAAGGACAATATTATTACTAGAAGATCATATAAGAAGTAATCGACAAAGTATGTATTTTGTTGTTGTGTATAGAGTGTTGGCATGTAATAAGTCGTTAATTATGAGCACTCTGATCGAGTTTGTATTTTGTGGACTCTTTTATGTAAATTAACGTATTTTGCTTTAAACAAAGTTTTAAATTTCTCTGTTTTTCAAAAGAGTCAAAGTTTGAAAAGTCAATGTGACACCTCAGACTTGTATTCGAGTTGGGTACGGGTTGGGGTGTTACAGTTAATGGCATCAGAGCTAAGGTTTAGTCGATTCTCGGCATAAACCGGAGTCTAGAGCGTTTTATAAGGTATACATGCCAACAAAATAGTGAAAACTTCTGATCTGATGGAATAGTAAGTGTACTGTCTTGCTAATAGAATTAAAATACTATGTTATATTATATATATGATCATAAGAGTTTCTAAAGTGAAATACAAGGTGATAGACCTGAAGGTAATAACATTCACCTGCCCTGGCCAGGCAAGGAGAAGAGCGAAAACCTCAGGGAATGCCTGTATAAGATTAGAGAGTGATTCATGATGTTGAATGATATTATGATGTGTTTTAATTTTATACTTCTATAATTCATAGAATAAATGTATTTAAAAGAGTTGAGAACACCTAAGTTTAAGGGTGAATTTGAGAAATGTTCCATTGTTATGGAAATTTGATTAAATGGTAGGAAGATAATATTAGAAAATTTTCATTTCTCTAAAGTGGAGAAGTTAAATTGAGTACTTTTATTACTACGTAGGTAAGCTAGAAGTATGGTGAATAAATGTCACCATAAGAGGGTTAAAATATCAAGTGACGTGGTTATCATTTGTAGAAGAATTTATGAATAAGTACATGAATGATCAGTTCATAAAACAAATGAAGCTCGAATATATGAGATTAACAAAGAAGTTACACATGCATGTGTATGAGTATAAGTTTAATAAGTTAAACAGATTTATTGTTATGTTCATTTTGATTAGGAAGGATAAGGAAGAACATGTGATTGGTTGTTTAGGGCTTGCGCCTTAAATTAAAATAGTGTTACTGGTTTTGAAATTGTTATCAATTCAAGAAATGATTAATCGCGTTAAAATTCTATAGAGAGCTAAGAATAAAAGGATTAGAGAACAAAAATTTTAGATGATTAAGAGAATTAGTGTTTAATAGAGTTAAGCACCATTAAAGAAAGATAGAGATTCTAGCTTTCAACTTCAAACCAGATATGAATTAGTTGCATTCTCCGCCAGAGAATCAAATCAGATGAGAGTCAGACAGACTAAAGCGGTAGGGTCTGATATTTGAATATTAAATAAGGATTTAATTGATGATAAGTCAGGGTTAAAGACAATCTTTGTGAATTGGGTTAAAAGCTCTGTTAGAAGTTATGAAAATTGAAGAAAAAAATTATTTTAAAGGGATATAAATAAGTTTAAGTATGTGTATGTGAGATAAGGATTTGAATGTTCAAGAGAAGATATAGAGTAATAGAAAAGTTTGAGAATGAGTAAGTCGGTGAACAATTTATAAGATAAAGGAAGTTATAATGTTCGATTTTAATCAGAGAAATAATATTGCGTGTGAGTAAAAGTCCAAGTTTGAAAAGTTGAGTAAGATATCATTGGAATATACATATATATATATATATATATATATATATATATATATATATATATATATATATATATATATATATAATAATTGATTGAAAATATGGTATATGATTGAGTGGATAAGGGTTGTACCCTAGATTAAAAATTAAAGATTTCGTTTAAAAAAATTAAGGTGCTATTAAATAATGTTAAAAGATATCCACTATTATAAAGTGGGGAATTTAGATGAGATAAGTTAGTTGCTATGCAGTTGAGCTAAAATATGGTAAATAAATGTTGTAATGGGAATAATGGAAGATTTATTGATGTGAATATTGTTTCGGAAAAAGTTTAATAAATAGTTATGTCAGTAATAATTTTATAAGATGGAAGATGTTGAATTGTTGAGAGTGAACAAATAAATTTCATGATACATGAGAATGAATGTGGATTTGATAAGTTAAGTAACAATTGTTGAGATAATTCTGATTGGAAGAAATATAAGGTGAATTAATCAAATATATGGATTTGAATATGGTTAGGTATTTGGATCATATATATGATTAAGGCAATGAGAAGAGTATTACATGTTTTAAAAGGCGCTTTGAGGAATAAAAATAATAATGCAAGTATAAGAAAGGATAAAGAATAAAGTTATGTGAAAATAATGTTAAATATTAAGGTTATGAAAATGTGATAAATATTAGTAATCAAATATAGTGTTATTATGATGTTTTCATATAGATATGAAAAACGTAATGGAGTAAAAAATGAATGAATGATTTAGATTGCAAGGAGATTTTGATTTGTGAAGGAATAAAGATATAAGGAAATTAAATATAGAGTTTAAGGTTTAAGAATGAAAAGGGTTATGATGAGGTGTAAATTATAAGTTTGGTATAAAAGTAAGAATTTTTCAATTCTAAGTAGAAAGGATAAAGAGTTATGAATTTTGTATCAGAATTTCAGTAGAGACTAAATTTGGAGGTTTATGAAGAAACTGATTAAGTTAGTATCCTTTATCATACTGAGGTAAATATTTCTTGGATAAGTATGTAAGGTTATATGAAAAGATTGTTGGATTTTGTAAATTGTATGTCTTAATTATATCTGATGAAGATTTAAGATTATCTCAAAGTGGTGGAAATCTTTGAAAATGTCTTAGGAATTTAAATTAATTGTAGCATTGATATCTATGCATAGACAAATAGTGAGTTTAACAGATTATTCATACTTTAAAAAGGGTATGTATGATTGAGTTCAAAGAATCATGGGAAAATTATTTACCTTTAGTAGAATTTGTCTACAATAATAATTATCAATTGAGAATTAAGATGACTCTGTATGAAGTTTTATTTGGGAGAAATTGTCGGACATCATTAATTTGGTTCAAGTTAAAGGATCAGAATTTTATTTTTCAGGATTTATTGAAAGTGGTTGAGGATAAAGTAAAGATAATTTAAGATAATTTCAAGATGACATCTAATCGACAGAAGTATTAGGCAGACTTGAGGCTGAAATAAATTGAATTTTATGAAGACGATAAATTTTTCTTAAAGTATCGTATAGAAAAAAAAATCAAGCAAAGGGAGAGTATAATAGAGTTTAAAGATTGGAAAAAGAATGTCAGACTAGGTTAACCAAGTGTAACATGTATTGGTTTAAGGTTGTGTTTCTTAACCATGTAAATATAGTAAAAGAAATAAGGATTTATTTATATGTATGAAGGAAACTTGAGATATATTTGAATGATAGTATTCTCTCTAATCAAGTTGTTAAAGATAAGCATGTTACTTTTGAGATGATAAAAGAGTATTGACATCAATTTCAAGATTTAGATAAAATTTAGAAAGAAAGGTGTATATAATTTGGATGAAGATGGTATAAGAATAAATGTTTGGTTTATGTTGTAAGTCATTAGAGATTGATGAAAGAAATAAACGGACTCATGATGTTGAGTGATAAGGATTGAGATTACCGTATGGATGGAACCTTATTATTTCCATGATGAGCGACATTATATTTATACGAATTTATAAAGATTAAAAGGTGTAGAATCGAATGAGTGAAAAGATAGGAATGAATGTAATTCCTTGTTGATTGAAAATAAGTTTAGTAATTGCAGCCACGAAGGGAAAGTTAAAGACTTAAAGTCAGATAATGTTGTCATATGAAGAGTTATTAGTGAGTTTATTTAATGAGTAGTAGGTTTGCAAGTAAAGAAAGATATCAAAATAGTTTTTTTTTGTGACATTGTGTAAAAGAAATTCTGGAAACTATTAAGTTAGTTGAATAGAAATATTGAGATTTTGTATGGACGGATTGGATCAAAGAAGTTGAAGAAAAGTGAAAAAAAATTAATTAAGATAGTGGATAGTTAACAGAAGTTCGATATATATATTTAAAAAAAATGGAATTTCTAGATAGGTGATAAAGTATTTATTAATGTCTTGTTCCGAATAAGATTTTCTGTATAGTATAACTCAGTCCTACATTCATTGGACCTTATGGATCTTTAAAAGAGGTGGATCTGTAGTATAATATGGAAGTGCAAATATGATATAAGTAGACAGTTTCCATATATTTGTACAGTGAAAATTCGAGGACAATTTTCTTAAGGGGGGAGATTTGTAACATCCCAAAATACGGGTTAGTGATTAAATTGTAAAGTTTCAGAATTTGGTGATTAAAGTAAGATGATTGAATAGTTCAATGATTTGTTCGAAAATATTTCCTAAAAGTTTATAGTAATTATCCAAAGAATTAAAGGGAAAAATGGTCATTTAGCATGAAAGATATTTTCCCCAATAATATGAATGAATCACGTGGGGTGGGGGGAAGAGTTATCTGAAAACTCTTTCTTCTTCCTTTCTTCTTCTCCCAACCGTGAAAGCTAGGCAAAGGTAAGGGTTTTCTGATTTGTTGATTATTTGTTAAATTAAAGGTTAGGTTTTGATCATTAGATGATAACTAAGCTTAAGGAAAGTTTAAGTTGTCTTATAATCAAAAGATTAAGAAGTTATAATAGATTTAAGAAAACAAGTTTTTATATGAAATTATGGGAAAGAGTTGATAAGTTGAATTTGAAGTTAAATTTGACTTGTCATCATGTTAATTAAGGAATATGGAGTGTTAGAATTGTATTTAGAACATATTGAAATTTGAGTATTATTCTTGAATTACATATAAAGAATAGATTTTTGAAGTTATAGATGATTTTCATGGATATAAGTTGGTTTAAGTAATGGTAGTTGAGTTTAATGACATGATAGGGGTTTAAAATAGAAGAATTAAGTGAAGAATTGATGATTTTCGGGGTTAAAATACAATTTCTGGGTAGAGGGAACCGATACCCTGTGAAGGGAATCGATTCCCCCTCTTGGACGAAAATTCCAGTATGTGCAGGGGGAACAGATTCCCCTCTGAGGGGTATCGATTCCCCGGGAACAGATCCCCCTGGGGGGTATCGATTCCCCCCTAAATGAAAAAAATGGAATTTGATTCATTAAACCGGTTTAAGTTATTAACATCAAGTTTAAAGTTTAGGCTTCTGATAGTTGTTTTGAAATGTTATATTTATGTAGATATTGAGCCTAAACAAGTTCTGGAATAATCAAAGGATTAGAATTGATTCAAATCAAACAAGGCTAAGGTGAGTGCAATTTTAATTGTACTTGTATTATTGAACGATTATTGGCTTGCGATGAGCCAATGATGGAGTTACTATGGTAAGAAGTGACTCCTAAAATGTTATTTGATATGTGATTCTTATATGTACATGAATACATTATATGCATAAACATAAGAGCATGAAACATAAGATGTATGATATGATATACATGATTATATGCATATGTGATATATACTATGAGATATGACTAATGTGAAATGAAATAAGCTATGTGAATATATGAAATGACATATGAATATGCAATATGTGATATGATATGAAATATATGGTTACACATACATGTGGTATGTGACAGAAGAGAAAGAACAAGTGATGAGAAATATATTCATAATAAATGCCCATAGTATATGATACGAGAGCTATAGGTATAGTTGGCATGCCAAGAGTCGAGGGTATTGTAGTCCTTCGAGACGTAGTCCTTCGGGACGTAATGGTCCTACGGGACGTAGTGGTCCTACGAGACGTAGTCCTTCGGGACGTAGTGGTCCTACAACATTGGTGCACAACCTCAATGTACTCAAATACCTCTATTCTCAATAATATACATGGGCAACAACAACATCAATTGAAATATAAATTAAAGTGAAAGTGATGCAAAAAGGTAAGTTTCATGTCTGCATGACTTGATTATATATGTCATAGGAAATATATCCATGCATATTGAAACATCATGATCAAATAGTAAGAATGCATTTTCATGAATCTACTGTTACATGTTTATTTATTGCCTCACTAAGTCTATGACTTAGCGTGTAAGTGATTTACATGTAGGTACCAAGAAACGTGAAGGGCAAAAACAGAAGTGGCAAGGACAGTACTATTACTAGAAGATCAGATCAGAAGTAATCGACAAAGTATGTATTTTGTTGTGTATAGAGTGTTGGCATGTAATAAGTCGTTAATTATGAGCACTCTGATCGAGTTTGTATTTTGTGGACACTTTTATGTAAATTAACGTATTTTGCTTTAAACAAAGTTTTAAATTTCTCTGTTTTTCAAAAGAGTCAAAGTTTGAAAAGTCAATGTGACACCTCGGATTTGTATTCGAGTTGGGTACGGGTTGGGGTGTTACAATTTTGGACGACCTCTCTCCCTCAATAAGGACGGATCTAGTACAATCATAAATCAATTCTGAACCTCATCTGGGTCTTTCTCATTACCTATAAGGGAACTCAAATTCGTATACCTTAAATACGGTTGTAAGTCGATATACGAGATCCACAAAACAATTATAGGCTTGACGGGTATAAGAGCAAGTTGTTATGACATGAGAGCATGGATACTTCAGAGCTTGAAAAAACCCACAGTCACACCATCTGTCTTGTAGATTAACTCTGAACGAGTTAGCTTCAATCTCTTGAAAAGGTCTTGGTATTTCTGTGACACGAAATAATTAACAGGTTTGAGATAAGCTTGTTACATATATTCCATTTGATGCAACAATACTTTTTTTGTAGATCTACAACTAATATTGGGTGATAAACATAGTCGTTTTGCATCCAAGTTTAAGTTTGTCCCCCGAGTTTGGAAAAAAGGGGCACCCAGACAAAAATACGTCATTTTAACTAAAGTTGTTAATGGTAAATGACCCCCTTTAAGGTCGAATTGATAGCCTCAACCAAGTTGATTGTTATATGTCCATATAGATATCCATCATCATATGCATTTATCTACATTTCTTTGTTGATGAGACTGCTGTAATTGTATCATTGCTCATTTTTCCTCACAAATCTTAAAACATGGACTCAAACGTTTGAGGTAATAGTTCGTATCATGTGCGTCAAATGTAGTACTTACTGTTAAGTTCCAATAAAAAATGAGAATGATTGAGAAATGAAATTAGGCATTGTGACATACTCATGCACACAAGTAATTGGCATTCATCATTTTTCTTAAATTTTTCATGATAGTTTGCGACAATATGTCGGATATAATACCGATGTTGGACATAAGACGATTGCCACATTCAACCCAAAGAGTCCAATACTACTTTGATCTAGCTCCGCGATTTGAAATGAACTATAGAAGGCTGAGGGCCACGGGGCAGATAGCATCTTGAGAATTCAAGGTCACGCATGCCCCCATTTAAGTGAATCATTAGATAGAAAAAACAATATTTGACCTCAATTTTCTATCCATGGGGACCTACTTGTATCTTCCCAGTTCACTGGCTCTCTCCTTCTCAAAGGTTTCAAAGTACAGGTATATGATTGTCACCGCAAGCAACATTCCGGTACCCGAACCGATTGCTCCCATGAAGTCTGCTAGGACAGTTAATGCACCAATGCACATTCCGCCAAATGCAGCTGCAGTTTGTATGTAACGGTTCAGCTCCTTTTGCAGATTTGAATCTCTATGTCCAGGCATCACCATTTGTTGTTCCTGCAATGGAAACACAAAACATGGGGAAGTCAGAAATACACCCAGTGTAACTTTTGTGTTTAGGATCCCTTCTAAAGACTATTCGTCAACTTCAAGGTATCAAAGCACTTGAAATTTTTTTTATAAGGGGAGGATGAAACAAAAAAAAAATAAACATTGACATCATTTAATCACATATTAGGCAAGAGAAATCAAGATCAACTAAGTTTTCTAATACATCTATGAGGAAAGCAAGCAATATTAAGCGGGTTTTGTTCCGGTGCAACGCGGTTGAAATCTAGTTTAAGGTGGCCGAAAGTTTTGATTGAAAAAGCAATTAAATTTTTAAAATTTTCATATTTAACTATAGTAAAAACTACATTTAGTATCTAAACTATCAGTTTTGATCTATTTTAATATTTAAATTTTTATTTTTTTAAATCACACATAATATTTAAATTTTATTTTATTTTAATATCTTGTTCAAAATTTATCGTTAAATTTTGAAAACATTAAATTTTTAGGTATTAAACGGCTAAAACTAATAGTTTAAATACTAAACACGCTAAGTTTTTAACGGTGGATACTAAAATAAAATAAAAATTAAATGTTATATATGATTTTAAAAAAATTAAAAGTTTAGATATTAAAACGAACTAAAATTGATAATTTAAGTACTAAATACATAGTTTATTCTTAAATAAATTTTAAAATTGATTAATAAACAGAATTCTGTTCTTTCTCTTTATATATATATATATATGATTAAGATCTATTTACATCTAATATTTTAATTTTATATATTTTAATATAATTAGATGAAGAAAAAAAAAGTAATTTATTATTTTTTTCTTTTTAAATAAATAGTTTCTTAATTTTCACTGTTAATTTTAATCTTTAATTTTTTTTATACATTAAAAAGTGTCAAACTTTTTAGTTGAAAGGGAAATATGGGAAAGCCGTGCAAAAGAGTGGGACTCACACTAATGAAAATGCGGTTTCGTAAATAAATAAATAGCCCAGGACCAGGAGAAGAAGATAGGAAGACTCAACTCTGAATCCATTAATTAGCCATCGCTGTCAGCAGCAAAGTCCTTAAACGACAGCGACAGCGACAGCGACAGCGACAACGCTACGCATCACTCCGATTATTGAAAAGAAGAATTTTGCCCTCTAAACCGAGATGGGTTGTACAGAATCCAAACAAACCTGTGGCGATGGTAATATAATAGACTATTCGCTCTCTTCTGTTCTGTAATTATGATCTAGTCTGTTCTCTTTCTATGCTTATGGTTGCTCTTTATTGATTAAATTACATCGGATTTTGAAAATGTTTATGGAATTTGACTAATTTTGACCACAGTTTTGAGAATCTCGTTTAAATCTAATCGTCGTATACTTTTCTAAAAAAATATGGCGGATTTGTAATTTGATTATTGACTTTAATTATGACCTATATATTCTTTTTGTTAATGAATAATCTGTACTTTTTTTGTAGTAATATTGGAAGTTACAAAACATTAATTAATCATGGGGTTTGTGTTGATTTCAATATGTTGTAGAAAATGCGAAGAAAATCAGAAAGCCAAAACCTTGGATGCATTCGGAGCCGATTACGAGAGCACAGCTAACGCGGATTCGTGACGAATTTTGGGATACAGCCCCTCACTATGGTGGTCAGAAAGGTATTTATTATCCAAATATCGACAATGGTTACTAGTACTAGCAAAGTTCTTTGAATGCTTGGCTTCTTTTCATATGATTTTTAGATAGTTTGATAATTTATGCATGTGAAACTCCACAAATTAAGTATCGCCGTGATCAATGTTGCAGTGCAAGGTTTAGATTAGTTAAAATTGCAGTTAGCTTAATGCTAGTTATTGTTGCAATGTTTTGTTGGTTGCAGTTCACCTTGCACATTTATGGGTGTCATTATGACCAAGAATTCCTTGCTGAACTAGAGTTTTGAGTGACAATTTAGATTATAGGTTCTGAAAATACAACATATTTTTGGTTATGAATAGGGTTATGACCTTTTTAATTGTAATGTGATCATGAATTGGTTCTATCTAAATAGTTGATAATAAGGCAGTAAGTTGGAGGTTTGAAGCACTGGACTCAGAGTCTGAGACCTGGTTTTACGATAACAAGTTAAACTTTAAAGAGCTGAAGATGTTGTTGGCTGAAGTAGAGCTGAAATGGATGCTTAAGACCATAATTCTGATCACTTTGAGCAACAAGGTTATTCATGGGTTGCTTTCAAGAGATGGGACCTTCAGGTTTGATCTTCTTGAATCCGTATCTCTTGTCACTTGTGTGCACAATGTGCCAACATATAAAGATGTATAAGTGTCAGTTTATAGAACCAATCTGCCCCCAATAAGGTTTCACTTAAATGCCGAATTCTGAATTTCAAGCCCATTGCTGTCATTTCTGACCGTTCTACCATCTTAATTGTACCCTGTCATACGAAAGAACTTACATTGGGGCAAAAAAGTATATTTGAAGAATAAATGTTCTGTTACCAGAGATTTGGGATGCACTTCGAGCTGCGGCAGAAGCTGAATTGATCCTTGCACAAGCAATTATCGATAGTGCTGGGGTGATTGTTCAAAATGATGATTTAACCATTTGCTATGATGAGAGAGGTGGCATTTATAGCCTAGTCTTCCTTTTCTTTTTCTTTTTTTCTCATGGGAAGACTTTCTTTCCTGTAATTAATCTTTCTCGTAAAATTACAATTGCAGGTGCCAAGTATGAACTTCCCAAGTATGTCTTGAGCGAGCCGATTAATTTGATTCGGGATGTCTGATGAAAGAGACCAAAGAATACAGTGAGTCATTTAGAATATGAATCATGTAGATTAAGCTCTATGATCTCTAGGATATGCCCCAATTGAAATCCCCATTCATTTACCACAATATAGTTATGTCAGCAAAAGTTCAGCTGGATCGAAAAACATTAGGTTTTAATTTAATTCCAGATCATATCAAGGAAGCTTACTAAATGACCAGCTGAATTTCAAGTACATTTATGTTATATGATTAAAATGTTTATTCTGGATGGCTAAAGAATCTGTGAATAGCATATGTTTGAACCTTGCTTATGTTATATGTTGTCCACTCTGCTTTAATGTTTAAACTTAAGGCTGCATTGCCCATTAGTTTCACGATTTCCAATCCCAACCAGTTGGTATCATCAAAGAAAACATGCCTGGTTGGACTGCAGGCATTTCTTTATCTATTCTTCTCGTCTTTTGTCTTTGCCGACAACAACTGTTTGCTCTTTGTTTCATATTTGTGTATTTATCAGATACCTTGACCGAGATGGAAACAATGTGTAATTTATTTAGATTTCTGGTTTGATGATGGCTCTTAGCTTCTATCGACACGTGTTATTAACCTTAAACCTGCTGAAATTTTTGTCCAATGTTAGCAGCCAGCCCATTTTTTGTCTCAGTTTATAATATAATAACACATGCGAATACTCAAACCCAGGTTCGGTGAAAATTGACTAAAGTAAATCATACTATGATAAATTTAAAATAAAAAGGTAAAGCAATGTTGCGTCGAATTGGTAAACCAAAGTTAAATAATTTATTTATCAATTTGAATTAGTAAGTTAACCTTGAGTACCTAATTGGATACAAAGGTTTAAGTATTAAATTTAATTTTAAAGTGAGTTTCAGGCTTTCAGCATATAATTAAACAAAAATAAAATAAAATAAAATATCAAATTGAATTTTGAACCTAGCAACAGAGAATTAATCCATTTTAAACCTTTATCAATCTTAAAATTAATCAAATTAAACACAAGTTTAATACTCAGATTTAAAATTATTAATTTAACAATTAGAATACGGCTTTCATTTTATTGTTATTTATAATTGGTCTCTCCAGAACTTTCATCACGATTCCATCTCTAATCATATTTAAAAAGTGATTAAAAAATATTATAGTTGAAATAATGGAAATTTATGTATTAAGTTGAAATAATTTTTTAAAATATTAAATTAAAAATGAATAAATTCACTAGTCAATATATAAGTGAGCAAAAAAAAAAAAAGTATTTTTATGCAAATGTAGGAATGTGTAGTCATCCACGACAAGAAGAACGTGGTTTGAAAATTTGGAAGAAACAAAGAATATAACGAATTTTCATCAAATTCAAAAGCATGCGAATTGCGAGGCGTCCTCACAGAATTTATCCCCAATTTCCATAGTTCCATACGGTAACTCTTCACAGAAAACCTTCAAAATAGAAAAGAAAAAAAAAATCTACACATCAACGTGCTAATTTCAACCTGAAGCTGTTTTGAAATGTCAACTTTTAAGTAAAAAACCGTCGGTTTTCGTTTTTTAGCGTTCGGAGTATCTGACTACTTACTTTTCCAAGTCCTACTTAATTTATTAATCCTAAAATAAGTTTATTTTTTCTTCTTTCGTTTGATATTTTGTCTGAAAACTGCAAAAAGTAAGGGAAAAAGATGAGAAAAGTTGAACAACAAGGCGAGACCCAGATTGGTTGCTGAGAAGATCGAATGTTTTTGCTCTGCTTCAATCATGCTATTCCCAAACCCCATCGCATTTCTGCCATCAGCTCTTCTTTCTTTTGTTTGGTTAAACACACACCAGCTTGATGCCGCTACGTTGCCCCAAGAAGAGGGTAAAAATAACCATTTCCTTTTCTTTTTTTTTGAACTTTTTATAACATGGGCTTAAACCCCATTTTATTGCTGTATTGTTGGATTTCATGTAGTAGTAGTAATGTTATTGTTGTTTGATTCGTGGTTTTGTTAGTGAATGTTCTGAATCAAGTTGCCAAAACGATGGGAAGTGACGACTGGAGTTTCGATTCCGGCAGTTGCAATGTGTCGGAGCAAGTGAGCACGGTGGGCATGCGTGCCGAGAAAAACATTACCTGCACTTGCCAAAACGGAATCTGCCACGTCACACATATGTAAGTTTCCCAAAAAAAGAAAAAAAAGAAAAGAGAGAACCAACCAAAATAAAAGTGCTTAAAATGGCTGATATTTGGGGGTTTGATTTTGGACTTTTTAGAGTATTCAAGCTTCAGAGTCTTCCGGGAGTGCTTCCATCTGAAATTGTAAATCTTCCATATCTCAAAGTTGTGTAAGCATCTCTAGCTTTCTTTCTTAATTCTCTGTTCTTTCTTTATTGAATGTGTTTAAGCTTAAGCCTATTTGGTATGCAGTGATTTTGCATATAACTATCTCAGTGGGACAATCCCACCTGAATGGGCTTCAATGCAACTCAAATTCATGTAAGTTATTGTCTCCTTTGTATATGATCAATCTTTGAGTGAAGAGAAAACTGTGTTATTCTCTTTTGGGGCTAACCGAGCGACCTTATTCCAGTTCTTTCTTCGGGAATCGATTATCTGGGAGTATTCCGACTTATTTGGGGAACATTACCAGCCTTAGATACCTGTAAGTTTTGTGCTAAGATTGTGACACCATATGCTTTTCACTCTCCCGAGGACATATGGGCACACAAATTATCTAGGTTTTAAATTAGTGAGGGAGAAGTTGCAATCATTTCGAGTAATTTCAATGTATGTACTTTACAGAGACCTCGAAGCAAATCAATTTTCAGGGCAAGTCCCTCCAGAGATAGGAAAGTTAGTTAACTTGAGAACTTTGTAAGGAATTTCGTTTCTATAATTTTCTTACTTTCCTGTGCTATACATTTAGAAATGGGAATAAGTAGCATAGTTTTGACAGAAGAAAGTTTATATTTATCTTTGCAGAAGATTGTCTTCCAACAGACTGGCTGGAAATTTGCCGGTTCAAGTTGCAGATCTGGAAAACTTGACAGACTTGTAAGGTTTTTCGTTAACTTATACTAGTAGAATGCCACTAAAAGCTTGGTAGAAACTTAAGTTATAAAGATTTTTACTTTATAAAATTCAGTAGGATAAATGACAACAACTTTAATGGGAGCATACCGGCTTTCATTCAGAACTGGAAGAAACTTAGGAGATTGTAAGATCCTCATCTTTGGAAATGTTTTTTAAGTTTCTTTAAAGTTTATGGTATTTGTAAACTTGTAATTTTTCTCTAAAGCTGATTGTTTATGCTTTAATTAAATCAAACAAGAGAAATGCAGGCGAGCGGACTTACAGGTCCTATTCCTTCATCCATCTCAGCTTTGGAAAACTTAATAACACTGTAAGCACTGAAAGCTTCTAAGCAGAAGATTATTGACAATAATTTTTTAATAAATTAATTGTTGCTGATCTTTTTGTTTGTAATGGAATTGATTACTTGCAGGATAAACAGTGATATAAATGGAACAACTCAGTGTTTTCCTGACCTTTGGAACATGACGGCAATCAGTCGGATGTACATTTGCTGCCTATCTTATATTTATGAAGCCATATGATATTAGCTCTTTTATCATTTAATCTGATATGGCTGTTCTTGGAAATTGTAGAGTATTGAAAAAATGCAACATTGTTGGGCAAATTCCCTGACAGATCTGGCAGATGAGTCGATTACGTATTTTGTAAGTGTAAAACATGATTCATCAATTAAAGAAAACAGCAAATTGCAGACTATTAAGTGCAGATCTCTATGCTGCTATTACATATATGTCCCTGGCCCAAAATTATCATATTCTTTTAATTGTTTTATTCGGTGACTGATATCAGCTGACCTATTAGCACCAGAAAAAAACCTAAGACATATTTAGTTGTGAATTTGGACAGGGACCTCAGTTTTAACATGTTGAGTGGGGAAGTTGTTAGAGCTGCTTTCCCTCATGATTTAAGATTCCTGTAAGTTTTATTTAACCGTTCTAGACAGAAATCATGAAAGCATTGTAGCAACATTCTATATTTACCTGCAATGCCTATTAAACTGATTGATATGATTGAAATCAGCTATCTTACAGGCAACAATCTCAGTGGAAATATACCAGACTCGATCTTGCAGACAGGAGTTGCCATGTATGTACTTTCTGTTAGGATTGTAACTAGGAATATATATTTGAATTCTTAGCATGCAGAGATTTCTGAGAAAACAGTTCTATTTCCTTCTTGCATTCAGAGATCTTTCCTACAATAACTTCACATGGCCAAGCCCCGGTCAACCTGCTTTTTTACGGAAATTGTTAGTTATTTTTTCTTCTTTGAGTTGAATAGAAGCATATTCTTCCCGTATGCTTCCTGAGATTTAAGGTTATTGACATCTACTGCATTTTTTTTTAAATAGGGATAATGTAAATTTGTTCCGCAGTTGTTCGACAGAATACCTGTAAGTTCTTGAGTTAATTATCATAGATTATCTAAGGCCACCAAAATTTTCTGTCAATACACAATGTGAGGTTTAAAACTTCATTTCCATGTTTTCTATATGAAAATAATGAGTATTTGTACAATTACGGTTCTACATAATAATCATTTTATCGCTAATCTGTCCTTTATTTTTGGTGTTTTCCTTTTCTCATGACCCAACAGTAAAAGAGGAGTTATTCCATGCAGTAGTGATTTCAAATGTCAGAAATGTGAGTACATTATAACATGTGCCTTAAAATCGATTATATACTTACCTTAAATCCATGCTTACCAATTTGCTAGCCTTTTTTTTCCAAAAATGTTTTTCCAAGCTAATATAAAAGATCTACATTAATATACTAACTTGGAAACGGTTACCATTAGCAAGCTGATTAGCTTTTTAACATCTGCAATAGAATCTTTCAGCTTCTTTCCTTGAAGCAAAGATAGTTGTCTTATTTTTGGCAGACTGGCATTCTATGTATATCAATTGCGGTGGAAATAATGATGTGAAAGTGAATGGGACAATGTATGTGGGAGATGTGAAATCTGGTTTAGGTGGTGCTGCAACATTATATGAGAATGGCGATAACTGGGGTTTTAGTAGCACTGGAGACTTCAGGGATGACAATGATGAACTTCATGTCACGTCACGTTATGTAAAGCAGACAATAAACGTGTCTGACCAGTTGTATGCTACAGCGCGTCTATCTCCACTTTCAATTACTTATTATCGATATTGTTTAGAGAATGGGAGCTATTCAGTGAGATTACATTT